TGAATTCCTGCAGCTTAGCTTGCCGAACACATTGTTGTCTTTTTTCATTCTTTCCCCCCTCACACTGTGTAAACACTCAGATCCTGCCTTCTGCCAGTGGTAACCTCGGGATGGATGCTCAGCGACTTGTATGTCCAGGGGCCTCTTACATCCTGCGTCAGTGTTAGTGGAAACGGTGAACCAGCAGAACACAGCCAGGTAAACCTGCAACAGTCTTGCTGGTGCTGGATGCAAGAGAGGAGGAGCCACCAAGACGTCAATTAACCAACATAAGATAGCAGTTGAAAAGCAGTAGAGAAAAAGGGAGAGACAGAGGGGAGAGCATTGAAAGGTTATAATTGCAAAGATGAGAAAAAGAGAGAGGGGAGAACATTGAAAGGTTATAATTGCAAAGACGACAGACAAACGGTGGTTGCTACATCTATTAAGTCAGTTAACTGAGTTAGATAAGCTTGTTTTTGCAGTTTGCCTCCCAGCAACCTTGCCATTAGACTGTGCTGCGACCTCAATGCAGCAGATGCCAGATGCTGCAGTTGGTCTACAGGGAGACCCACTGTTTGCCCAGACCTGCTGCTTCTGAATGAGAAGGTTGATGTGTGGGGGTCACAGTAATGACCTCCATGTTTATGACAATCTGAGAGGTAGACCTCAACACCATCTCTACTAATAGCAATATGGTAACAAATATTCAAAAATTCGGAAAGCTTTCTGTAAGGCAGACACATTGGTAAGTATTGATAGAAGTTTTCATTTAAATCTTCCCACTCATATGAGATGGATGGGATTTTGACTCTCACTTTTGAGGTGGGAATACTGCCATATGAAGAAGTTATATCATTTGCTCAAGGCCACACAATCAGCAAATATCTGCCGGGGGTTCAACCCAGGCTGCCTGAGTCCAAAGTCCATCTAACCCTGCAGTACACGGGTGCTATTCTCTTAAGAAGCCTATGTTTAAGGGTTAAGGAGCTATGAAAACCTGGTTAATATTTTTCAAAGTGTAATTTGTGGATATTAGCCGATACTTGCAGACCAGGCAATGCTGGGTTAGATACACTTTGGAATGTCCTTGCGGCCTCCCTGGTGGTCTAGGGTGTAAGTTTCAGCACTATCAATGCTGTGGCCTGTGTTTGATCCCCCACCAGGGAACTAACCACAGGGCACAGCAGACCTCTCCTGTCTCTCGGCAGGCCCCCTCAGCAGTGTATTTCAGTAGATCTACCTGCTCTGCTCCCCACTCTGTCTCTGGTGACTACTCTCACTCTCCACACTTTTGGCCTGCATCCGGTTCTTCTACGCAAAAATAAATAAATAAAATCTTAAAAATAATCTTCTTGCACTCCTAATTGTTCATTGTTTCAGAGACCCCAAGGGGGAAACACTCATGGAGACTCTGCCAGGCAGGTTTGGGCAGATCTACTGTGGAATAACCTTCGCTGAGCTCAATGGGCTCACACTCTTGGTGCGTCTCTGGGCCAAACAAAAGACACTGGCAGGATGGATGCAGAAACACAAGTAGCTTTTTCCTCATGGTAAGAAAGGGAGACTAGTTTCCAAAGAAATTGTCTCCTGGATGGGACAGTGAAATAGTAGAGCATCTTTTTTTAGCGTGGGCAAGGGACCTCAGATGTGTCTTCATCCCCAGTGCTGGTATCTTTGTGTTACAGGGAAGCCTAGAGTGAACTGGGCGGCCTGTCTGTGGGGCTTCGGTGCGCTCACAACTCAGTTACACTGCAGGCACACAGGCAGGTTTATTTACAAAAGGGGAAAGGAATAGGAAACAACCCAGGGAAAGAGAGTGGGATACAAAGTCACTGGAATACCTTAGGGCTAGGCTGACTGAACATACCGAGTCACACCATAAGGAGAGCTGCTTCTGGTGC